TGCCCCGCCCCTCGCCCTCCCCGCACGTCTGTCTTTGTGCCTAGACTCAGTTTCCTGACACCCCTTGTTCCCCTTCGTTCTGAGGCCTCGCCCTATGGCGCGTGCATCTGGACCCAAACTCCCCGCACCCCCTCCCCCCTCAGCTAGACCCAGAACTGCGGGCTCTCAGGTGGTGGGACGAGGACCCCACCCCTTCACCTCCGAGAGCCATCTGTAATGCCTCTCGGTGCCCAGGCTACAAGGCCGACGGAGTCCTAAATTGGGGTCCCTGGGCAATTCCGAAGTGTGCTTATGTTCCTTGGGTGTCCGCAAACAGGCCAGCAGGGTAGCAGCCCTTCTGATGGGGTTTGCTGGAGAGAGCAGGCTGGGCGTGCGGAGTGAGGTAGGGGTCATGGGACAGGGGAGGGGTCCACTTCGAGGAACTGGCCTGTCCTTTGACAGGAGGTATAGGGATCTGGGGCCTGGGCCTAGCCAGGGAGGGGCCACAGGATGGGGAGTAGGTGGCCAGTCACCCCCATTTCTAACCAGCCTCAGCTCCCACTGTCTCCATTTGTTTTCTGCCCTTGGGAACCCTGGTCCCGGCTGGGCTGGGACAAGTTCCAACTCTGCCTCAGGCAATCTGTGGCCTAACTGTGGGGTGGCCATCCCTTGGGCAGCACTCCAGGAGGGCAGTTTGTTACCTGCCATCTAACAGGTGAGAACTCATTGCCACAGGCGCTTCCTCAGTTTCCCCTGGTCCCGTGTCTGTGAGCAGGGACCAACTTCGCACCTCCTGAAGGCACTGCCTTTGGGCCTGGAGCCCTGACGAAGTAGCGGTTACTACCAGCACCCCGCAGGAGAAAGAGGAGTGAGGCTTCCTACTCCCATAGAGAGCTCCCCTGCCCTACAGTCACTACAGGTCAGAAGTCACTTGATGGCACTGCTGTGGGGTGAAGTTCACGTGCCCCCACACCCCTCCCGCAGCCGGAACAGCCAACCCCCCAACTTTGAGCTGGTGGCTTCATGTCCCCTCTTCCAGGCAGCCCTGCCAGATGCCACCCAGCTCCACTCTGGCCAGGTCCCACTGTCTGGAGGACTGGTCTCGCCCAGGGTGTCCCAGGCTTGTGCTCTTGACATTCAGAGCCCGCCCCCACCTGGGGAGTAAAGTCCATGGCTGGATACTGGCGAGGTTCCCGGTGAAGGAGAGCAGGACAATCAGAGAGGATATGTGGGGAGCAAGGGCAGCGTGCCCTGCTGGAACCCAGGGCTGCCCTGAGGGGGCTATAGGCACGGGATCCAGTACCGTGAGAAACTTGGCATTCAGATGCCCTGGATCTGAGACTGATGCCAACCACCACTCATCCCCCAGAATGCACTGCCCTAATCCTTCCTGTGACACTTTGTGGTCATTGCAACTGCTGAGCCCTTGCTTGTATGCTGCTTGGAGCCCTGCCCAGACGACTCCCGTCTGTCTCCCCACCGCCCCCAGTTCCTGATGCTCCAAGTGTCACTCGAGGAACAGCTGAGTACAAGGCCAAGTGGTTCCAACACAGCCTCGAGAAGGGGCTCCAGCCAAGCCACCTGAGTACCCATGCTGAAGCCCCTGCATCTTTCCTGTGACTCCTGCCCAGCTCTGCTGGTTCAGGGTCTCCATTAGCAAAGTGCATCCCATCACCCTCCCAAAACAGCCAAAGGCACGAGTTCGTGACCTGCTTGTCCATCAGTTTAATAAACGCCACGGGGCCAGGTCAGGCACAGACCCCCAGCATGGGGTCAAGGCTACTAAAGGGAAGGACCTTTGTGAAAGGGTCCTGGGGTTGGGAGTGGGGGATGACATTCCTGGAAGGATGCTGAGGACAAGGGGGCAGTGGGGACCAATGTACGCTAGCACCTCCCACCTCCAGGACTGCCCGCCTCAGGTCTAAGGGCAGGCTGGGCCTTCTACCCCTTAGGGCCCAGAGATAGCCCAGGTAAGACCAAGTCCAGAACAGGCCAGCCTGACTCCGTTCCTGCACGGACAGCAGCCTCTCTCCCCTCCATCACCCAACCAGGCTCCAGGAGGGAATGGAGATCCCGTGGGCGGACATCAGGCTGGGTGTACCCAGGATTCCCAGGGTGCTAGGAAGTCTTCCTATCATAGCCCACTGGTTAGCCCTCGCCTGGCTCCAGCCCCACACGTAAAGGACTCTGTAGTGAGGGCAGGACCAGGCTGAGGAAGTGGCAGGTGGTGGCTGGTGGGCCCAGCCCCTGGGCAGCCTCGCACTGGGACGTTGATACACAGCACGACACTTGCAACAACAGGAGGGCGGCAGACACGTAGGCTGGGACATTCAGGGGACCAGGACGGTCCTTCCAGAAGTAGTGTGAACACTGGCGCATACTCAGTAGTAAGGCCGCCGAGGGTTATTCTGTACAAGGGAGAAACAGAACAAAACAAGGTGAACACCACCACCATCACCACCCCCTCCCTGGGGTGAACAACAGCAGAAACGTGGGTGAAGGGAGACAGCGGCGGTGTAAGATAGGAACATAACAATGATGTATCAAGGGTTCACGAGGGTGGGAAAGTGGGGGAGGGAGGGAAGAAAGAGGAGCTGCTACCAAAGGGCTCAAGCAGAAAGAAAATGTTTTGAAAATGATGATGGTAACGTATGTACAAATGCACTGAATACAACTGATGCACGGACTGTTATAAGACCTGTAAAAGCCCCTAATAAAACAAACAAACAAGGTGAATTAATATGACAGTCCGACAGCAGTCCTGCCCATCTGGAACCTTCTGAGACTAAACCCCAAACCAAACCCACTGCCATCGAGCCAATCCTGACTCACAGGGACCCTATGCAGTCAAACTGCCCCGTGGGTTTTCAAGGCTGTAGATAGTTACGGGAGCAGACAGCCAATGGACAGCTGGCAGGTCTGAACTGCTAACCTGGTGGTTACCAGCCCAGCACATAACTCACTCTGCTGCTAGGGCTGAGCTCAAATCCTTAGGATGAACAGGAGGGAGGAAAGAGAAAAAGCCTGCTGCGAGCTGACAGCGCACTCAGGGGAGGTGCTCAGCGGAGCACTCTACTGGAGGCCCTGGCCTCAGTGTGCTAGAGGAGGCAAGGACGCTTTAGTCCCCCGATCAGGACCCCAGTCCCACGGGGTCCAGATCGATGAGTGACCCTGTAGTAGGGGTGGGGAGGGGGCACGCACCAGGGGATTGGGCCGGAACCTGTAGGCCAGCATCATCCTCTTGCGGAAGGCTTCGTACTCATCGTCCTCTTTAGAAAGCTCAGCAGGCCGGTCGATGCCAAAGCCAGCACCATCCACAGCAGTGGTGCCCCTACAGGGGAGAGGGGACAGGCGTTAAGTGCTGGGCCTGGTGGTACGTCTATGCAGACAAGCCCAGGAGGAAGCTAGGGACAGGACAGGTGTTCTGGAAACAGTCCAGCATATGGACAGTGGGTGTTCCAGTCTGTCCCTCACTTGCCCCCAGGACTACTTCTCCCCTGCTCACCCCTCTCCCTGGTAGAGAATACTAGTGATGCTTCAGCCAGGCCAGCATGCCTCCCTGGGGTGCCCACCAGGTCTGGACAGAGGGGAATTGCAGCACAGGAGAGAGGCCAGAGGGCACCCTGGGGTGGGGGCAGAACCTGCAAGTCCTTATGACCCTGTGCCGAGCTTGGGGGAGGATGAGGGTGACAGGCGCTGCCCTTTCTCTACCAGGCAACGTGGGTGGGGAGAGGTTCAGGGCCGGGAGGCAGCAGGGTCCTTGTGCTAGGCCAGAGCCCACACCCAGCCAGTGTACTCTCTTGCCCACAGGAATCTTGACGCCCCCTCTACTTGCTCAGGGGTTCTTGACACCCCGGTCACACTAGTTCTTCCCCTGACCCCCACCACTCACCGACAGGAGCTGCCCACCAGCCCCCATACTCACTTGCTGACGGGGGCCTTGATGCCCTGGCCCTCAGAACCCAGGCCTTCTCCCTCCTTCCAGCCCATCTTCATCAGCATCTGGTAGCCGATGTTCTCCACCGTCAGTGCGAACTCCTTGTACTCTGAGTAGTCGGGCTCTCGGCCTTCCTGCAGGGCGAGGGAGCCATCAGTCACCTTCCCACCTCTGGCCCCATTTAGGGGCAACAGTGTCCACTTGTCCCAAACTCAGTGTCGTTCTCCTGAGACCCAGCAGGTGAGGTGACTTGGCAGCTGAGACAGAACAGGTTTGTGCACCAAGGGGGTGGGGGTCTGCTACATGAGGTGGTCTATGCAGCTGGTGCGAGGCTATGCCTGGCTAGTCCGAGGGTCCCAGGAGGAGGGCACTGGCCTGGTCTGCAGAGGCTGGTCTCAGGCCTGTCAATGCCAGGCCTCACCTGGCCATGCCCTCATATGGTGCCATTGGAAGCTGGTGCTCTGCAGCCCAGAACATTCCAGGCATGGACAGGAGCTGCAAGGGCACGCGAGCCCTTACCTTCAGGGCCTTGAAAGTCTCCATGAACTTTTCCAGCTCGTCAGGCGGCAGGAAGTCTCCGATGAAGTGCTTCCCCCGGCCCATCTTGGTTAGCTGCTCGGCCCACTCTGCAGAAGGAAGGTGGAATCAGGGAGGGAGAAAGAGGGGGCCCATGTCTCCACAGCCCTGGCCCATGTTGTCCCTGGCCGGCACACACCAGCAGAGAGCTCTACTTGCTGGGATGTCCCCATGGAGATAGAGACCCAGAAGCTTCAAGCCAGGGTAGGCCTGGGGGTCTCCATCCACAGCCAGCCTGTCCCCGGGGGTCCACTTACCCCGAGTCTTGTCCATCTCCATGCGCCGCAGCTGGTGCTCCCAGGTGCCCAGCTCGCTGTCCACCTCCTCATCGCTGTCGTAGCCATGCTGGTGCTGCTGCAGGGCCTTCTCCCACAGCAGCTGCATGTCCTGCATGGCTCGCTTGTGCTGCATGATCATGTCGTACATCTGCTGCATCTGGGGACACCGAGAGGCTGAGTGGGTCCCACGCCAGCTATTTTCAGTCACAGCCCCATTGCCCCAACAACTGGGGCAGCCCAGGTCTCCAGGCACCAGCTCTGACTTCTGGGGTGTTGGGAGGTGGGGAGTCTTTGGTCAAAGACCGTGAAGCCCTCCTGCCCCAGGAGGCCATCACAGAGGTCGCCTTGGCTGTTGACTCCTTAGTCAAATCAGGCTCACGCCACAGTTAACCCAAAACTGTCTGGGATGGGCTAGGATTGTCCTACAGCGAACGAGGGCGGGAGAACCCACCCCTGGGCAACCCAAGAGTGGGAGGGCCTGGGCAGACGTGACCAGAGGGAAGGTCCGCTGGCCAAGCAGCCTCTTTGCACAGCCCAGGGAAAGAAGCAGAGGGTACAGTCGCGGCCAGGAGGAAGGATTACAGGGCTTGCTGGCTCAGGTGCTATTGCCCGCGGTCAGCGTGGCCCGTGCTTGGCTCCACCTCTGCTCCCGGGCCCACCCCCCATGCTGCCCTGACACCACCATGCTGGTGCTACCTCCTGCTGCTCCTTCAGCTGCTTCTTCTGCGCATCTGACAGCTCTGTGACACCCACCAGGCCCACGGGCTTCCCCTTCTCGTAGCCGAGCCCCTTGAGGTCCTGGACTGGAGAGAGGGCACAGGATGGTCAATGAGGTGCAGCAGGGTCATGGGTGATGACCACGGGGGCAGACCGTGCCCCTCCTTCTGTACCCGGGGTTTGTTTCTGCAATGACCCGTCAGAGCAGCTCCTACACTGCCTGGCCAGACAGATGTGGACCCAGAGAGCCTTGGGGCGGGGGCTCTGCACAGCACTGGGTGACGGCTCAGATGCATGTGCACCTGTGTGTGTGCATGTGGATGGTATGAGTATGTCGGTGAGTACAAGCACACATGTGCAGATGCATTGAGTGTACACACGTGAATGGCTGCAAGAATGTGTGGGCACAGGCGTGCATGTAAGTGTGTGAGAATACTTGTAAGCACACAATAGCACACAGGAGTGTACGTGAGTGCCCATGGGGGAGTGCATGTACATGCATGAGTGAGCAAAGGATGTGTATGAGTGTGTAAGTGGTTGTGAGCACACCACGAGTGCACACTGAGTGTCCATGGGTGGGCAGGTGTGTACACATCTAAGAAGAAGCACTCAATGAGCATGTACAAGTGAGGGCACACGGATGTTACGTGTGGCCACATGTACATGCAGCTTCCAGAGGCCAGTTTAAGCAGCTGCCCCCTGGTGGAGACCCATGTGGATTGGGGCTGGTCAACTGCTTGGCTGGGATTCCTGCGGGGCGGGGAGAGATGGGGACGAAGCAGCAAGCTGTGTTCAGAGCAACCGATGTTTCATTTGACATGGACTTGGGGACTTGGTGGCAGCCGGCAGCCCTATGGTGAGAAGCAGCAGTCCTATCTGGGAGGAAGAAACCAATGTCCCCCATGGAGGTGGGGGCGCCACATCAGCTCTGGGTAAGGGCTGCTCCAGGCCGGATGGCAGCAACCAGCAATACACAGTAGGCACTAGCAGGGGCCGAGAGGGCTCTGCGGGCTTTCGGAGAACTTGAACGCGGCCCAGGTCCCTCCTCCCAGGAAGCTGCTGTCCAGGGCTCCTCAGCACTATCTGAGCCACC